GGCTTCGACCAGTCGTGGCCACACGCTCCGCACCCGGAGTCCCGAGGAGGAGCGCCGTCGGACCTTCTGCGCTCCGCGCTCCGCGCTCCGCCGCTGCCCCCGGGCTTCTGGCGCCGGGCTCCCGCGCCACGTCCGCCGGCGCCGGCTGCCGCCCCACGCGCCAGGAGGAGCGGCAGGGGACCACCCAGATCGGAAGGGGGAAGGAGGTCGGGGAGGACAGGTAGGGCGACGACATCTATACATATCCACTGCTCCCTGGCGAGGCCCATCCTGAACCCAGCAGCTGTGTATACGCTGCGCCCTCCTGGCGTGGCCAGGAGGGCGTATGCACAACTCCTGGGTTCAGGATGGGCCTGGCCAGGGAGCAGTGGATATGTATAGATTTCGTCGCCCGAGACAGGGGCAGGCCAGGGCGCAAGCTGAGCAGTGCTTCCCGTGCGCGTTTTGGTGTCGGTTGTCCCTGGTTCTGTCGTCGTTCCGCCTCTGCTGCAGAACAAGGTCAAGACGAGGATGACCCACGAAATCGCCCAAACACCGTTCAGCTCGAGCCCTGGGGAAGGCTGTCGAGCAGTTGTGCAGCTCCGCCTCGGTCCTCCTCCACTCCCCCCTCCTCATCTGACTGCCTCCCCCCCTCTCCTTGGGGGGGGGAGCGAGGTGGATCCGTACACAGCCGTCCTCCTCCGAGCCAGGCACAGCGATCCGGAACACACGCAGGCTGCAGCACTCGAGCTCACAGCTCGTCTGCACTTGTGCTCCGCGGCGAGGGCGCCGGGATCCCCCCCGCCTCCTTCGCGAACGTCACGGTCAGCGGATCCCCGGTCCTCTGCCGCCTGCTGCAGCGCGTGGACAGCTGGCACCACCCGCTGCTGTTTGGCGGCGCGCAGGGGGGGGAATCGGGGAGGGGGGAAGGCTTCTCAGGAGCACCCCTGTTTCGTAGACTAGAAGACACGGGCCCTGTCTGTAGATGTAAGGCTGGCGCCTTCTAAGAAGCAACTTCCCTCTAATAGAAGAGAAAACGCCATAAGCAGAAACTTTTGGCGCTCCGCGCGGATCTCTTGGATCTGCGCTGGACCCCCCTCCCTGGCGCGCGGAGCGCGCCAGGGGCGACGCCGGAGGCGCCGCCTGGGGGGGCCAAGCGCGGATCCAAGAGATCCGCGCGGAGCGCCAAAAGGTTTGTGCTTATGGCGTTCCTCCCCCTTCGATCTACGAGGCCTCCGCCCCTCCCCCCATGCGCCCTCGTGCGCGCCGCCACGGCTGTACGCCGTGTAGAACCGGCACCGCGGCCTCTGCAGGCACTTTGCCCGGCACTTCTCCCCGTAGAGGCCCGAGCGGGCGTCGCCCGCGAAGAGCCCGCCGGCGCCCGGGCCGTGGCCCCCGCCGTAGCCATCCAGGGGCCCCTCCAGGAGGTCGGCGCCGTCCTCGCAGAAGCTGCCCGCCTCGAGGAAGCGGAAGCGCGGCGGCGGGCCCGGCCGCTCGCCCGAGGGGGGGCCTCTCGAGGCTCTGGCCGCTCCCGGCCCGTCTCGATGCCCGTCTCGCTGTCCCGAGCCCGCTCCCTCCGAGGAAGGGCCCGGAGCACCACGGCCAGCCCCAGGCGAAGAAGCAGACTCGCCGTGTGCTGGAGGCTGGCGGCGCGCACAGGGGGGCGGAGGGAGGGGGGGGGAGGGCTTCTTAGAAGGAGGCTGCTTCTCAGAAGGCGCCAGCCTTACATCCATAGATGAGGGCCGCGCCCTCTGAGAAGCAGGGGTGCTCCTCAGAAGCCCTGCCCCCTCCCGCCACCCCCCTCTGCGCGTGGCTGAGGAGGACCAGCCTGGAGGGCGAGGGCCACGCAGAGCACCTCCTCGCGCCGCTCGTTGAAGACCTGGACCGCGCCCCCCCACTGCCCCCCGAGGTCCTTGTGCAGCGGCTTCCGCACGCGGAACGTCAAGGTTTCCCGGTCCCGCGCGAACGGGCAGTCGGAAGTCTGATACGGCAAGCTGCCGTTCTGGGATGATGCCTGCACCTGTGGACTTCTCGGTCCTGGCGATTCTGAGGACCGGAGTTTGCCGTCTGCCCCTTTTGTGTGTTGAATACCCGTGTTCCGCACGCACTTTGAGTCCTTGAGGAAATCGCAACAGACGTCGTAGCCACCAGCCTTCTCATCGCCTCTGTAATGCACGGTACTCACCCCCTTGCGCGCGAACGCGAATGTCCACGATCCACCTTGGGGCAAGAAGCCTCCATTCGGTGCGCCAGAATTCCGCACATCGATCTCCACGTCGAGATACGGCCAGTCTTTCTCTGTCTCTTGAGCTTGCCTCTGTGCTGCTACTGATGTTGTTGATGCAAGGTCATCTTTCTCCGATGCAAAAGGCGCGGATGTGTTGTTTCTGTCTGCGGTGTCTGCGTCCTTGTCAGTCCCTCGTGACGGCGTGGAATCTCGCACACGCTCGATGCGCGCACGCAATGTCTGGAGGACAGCAGGGGCGGACTTCTGCGAATGCTCCTTACGCGTAACTGCGTCGCCGAATTCCGTCAGACGCCCCCCGTCCCTGTCGAAGACCGCCCGGTAAATGTGGAAGCGCAGCGGGTCCTGCAGCCACGAGTCTCGCAGCTCGGTGAAGTCCTCGATCGTCCCAGCGCCTTCGCTCTCCTCCTCGGGTGGATCCGCTTCGGCTGGAGCGACGCTGAGATGTCCTCGCCGCTGCTTGTCTGGGTGCTTTGCCTTCGCGATGCGCCGGTACGCACGTCGGATGCCACGGTCGGTCAGGTCGGACTGCCCCGTGCAGTCGAGAAAGCCGAGCCTGGGTGCCGACTGCTCTCGCGGGACATGCTGATCCACACCTTGTTCGAAACCACACGCGTGATGACTGGCGAGAAGAACTGCTACTGAGCTGGCACACGCAAATCTCGGCGACATTTAAGCATATACATAGCTATCTTGAACAGCTCCATATGCTTCAATGTATCACCCAACTGTGCTCTTAAGCCAAAACGGTCACTCGTAGAACATGGGGAGGTTGACGAGAAGAAGGAGGAGGAGGAGGAGGAGGGTTCCCTCATCACGGCGAACCAAGCCTGGTGGTGCACTTTGATGTCGTAAGGTGATGCAGCGGAATGCATTTCAGAAAGCCTGCATACGTGAAGTTGTAGGTGCACGTGTGCAAGTCAAACTGCGTCAATATGCCTGCAAATGCCCCGCCTGGTCGCGCTGCGAATAGGCCCATGCAGAATATAATGATCACACCCTCGTGCTCCTGTTCACCCGTGCGAGCGGATATGTTGGAACGGCGGCACAAGCAATTCTACACGGACGATGCGTCCGTGTAGAACTGCTTGTGGATAGGGATATCAAACACATGCATGCACAACATATTCGCAGGCACACACGTGGTCGCACGTCCGCGCGTGCATGACATGGTCATTCGAAATTTCGGAAAATGACGACGCGATATCATCCTGGCGGCCACCGTGGGAGAGGTGCGAGAAGAACGTGTTGTTGTGTATCCACGTCATTGGTTTCACCGGAAGCCCGCGTTTATCGCGCAGATCGCGGCAGAATCGCACCCACCTGATTGCGGTTTGCATGGGAAGTCCCTCCCCACCCAGTACCCCTCTACCCACACAAGTCTCTCTCTCTCTCTCACACACACACACGTGAATGAAATAGCCTGGCGAAAGACCAAGCCATATCCAGATGCGAGTATCGCAGGAAATGCCCTTCTCATCATAAGTAGCGCGCCGCGGAAGGGATGGAGCACGGGGCAACGCGGATGGGAGCCCCGAAACATGCGTAGAGCATGCCGAAATGAGCAGGGGACGTATGCGGGCGCTGCCACTGGGGCCTTCGCCGAGAGATCCCGATGGGGCCACGAAGCGTGTGAGGGGTGTGCCGAAATCGCCTGAGGCCGCCATGCGAATCCTGCCACTTGGGCCTTCGGTGGAACTCCTTGTGGGCCCACGATCCTCGTGAGGGGTTTGGCGAATTGGCCCGAGGCCGCCATGCGAACTCTGCTACTGGGGCCTTCGGTGGAGCTCCCCGTGGGGCCACGATCCTCGTGAGCGGTGTGCTGAAATCGCCCGAGGCCGCCATGCGAACCCTGCCACTTGGGCCTTCGGTGGAGCTCCCTGGGGCCGCGATCCCCGTGAGGGGTGTGCTGCAATCGCCCGAGGCCGCCATGAGAATCCTGCTGCTGGGGCCTTCGGTGGGGTTCCCTATGGGCCCACGATATTCGTGATATGGGGTCGCGATCCTCGTGAGGGGTGTGCTGAAATCGCCCGAGGCCGCCATATGACCCTGCCACTGGGCCCTTCGGTGGAACTCCCTGTGAGGCCACGATCCTCGCGAGGGGTTTGGCGAATTGGCCCGAGGCCGCCGTGCGAACTCTGCTACTGGGGCCTTCGGTAGAGTTCCCTAAGGGGCCACGATCGTCGTGAGGGGGCGTGCCGACTTGGTGGACATGCGGAGGGCAGAGGCAAGGATGGGAGGAGGAGGAAGAGGAGGAGGAGGAGGAGGAGGAGGGGGAGGATGAGTGAGGAGGAGAAGGAGGAGGAGGAGGAGGGGGAGGAGGAGGAGGAGGAGGAGGAGCAAACGTCCCTCGGAAGAAACGGCTTCACCTTCACGGACGCCCGCGCGGCCCCGCGCCGCCCACGAGGCAAGCAGGCAGCCTCAGGGCGCGACGCGAAGCGGCGACAGTCGCCTTGGTCATGTATGTTGTAGGCGCTGGTGTTGCCGTCGACGGGCGCCCTGACCTCGTGGTAGGAAGTCGCGATGCCATGATCGGCCAGCTGGACTCGGAGGAAGTTGTATTTCATGAAGGCGGCGGCCAGGCGTCTGATGGTGTGGTCGATGCGGTGTTCGTCGCTCTGCTCGCCGAGAACGCCCATGCGTACGAGGATGGTGTTGTCGACTTGTCCGCGGGGCAAGCAGAAGTGGCTCCACATCCTTGGGCATGCCATATAGAAGGAGATGTCATCGATGTTGCGCTTGGACTCGGAGACTGGGCAGCCGAAGAGGCAGTGGCGCCGTCACGGGTAGACGTGCACGCGGTAGCTGGTCGTCCAGGCCCCCGCCAGCGTCTTGAGCACGTGCCACAGCAAGGACGGAGGAGCTCGAGCGAGATGGCGACGTAGTACTGCCCATCCGTTCGCCAGAGAGACGGGTCAGTCGTCGATGCAAAGCAGGTCTGTCGGCTGTTCGTTATTGCCCCCATTCGCAGTGTCGTCGGGGAGCCAGCGACCTTTATCGCGAGCGTCATGGGAGGATAACCAGCGGCGGCAGGCACGATGCTCAGGGGTTTCTTCGTCACGTTCTCGCTGCGTGGCTGCCGAGGGATGGGCGGACTGGTAAATGGCGTAGCGTCGGCTGCGTGCGCACGATGAGCTGTGCCAGCGGCGTTCGCAGATCTCGAGAGCGACAGTGTGGCGGCGTCCACCATCGTTCCATGGACTGGTGGTGATGTCGAACATGATGTCGAACTGTGGGCGGCGAAGGCAGCTCGTGAGGTACGGGACGCACCACTCCATCCAGTCGCGGTAGTCGTCGTAGCTGGGGTCAAGGACGACGTTCGGGATCCAGCGGGCTGCCCATGTTTCAGCACGCTCGTTCATGTATGCGATGGACTGCTCGGCGGTGGGCGTCTGCGGGGGCTGAGCGGTAGTGGGACGCGGGAGCGAATCTTGAACAGCTTCTTGAAAGGAGCGAGCAGGCTGGAGCATGCCGATACGCAGGAACCAGAACTTGAGGCGCTTGAGGATTGTCTTGTCGAAGGTGTCGATGTACATTGCGGTCTGAAGCTCGTGTAGGTATGCGGACTGCTGAGATTTGCGCTTGGCTGTCGTTCCCTTGCCTTGGGCCTTGCCACGACCCTCCTCTTCATGTCGATCGATCACGTGGCTCATGTTCTGGGCTCTGTCGCGGTCCGTGCATATATGATAGCATGGCGACCAACAGCGGCGGCACGTCGGTGAGCAGCAGCAAGAGGAGCGTGGGCCGCATGTTGCGGGGTGCCGAGAGAGCGCTTCAGAGACTTGTGAATGGAGCCCTTGCACGTTGGGTAGAGCTGGCCCGTGACGATCTGCTCGAAGCGTTGCGCGATGGAGCGTTTGTCCTCCCAGATATCGGCGCACCAGTGTCCGAGGACAATTTTGCAGACTGGCTGTCGATCTTCGGCAACAGCTTGGTGTTCACGAAGAAGGCGCGTCCATGATGTAAGTGTTGTGGAGGTTGTGCGCCACATGGTGGCCGAGAGAAGCGTTTCTAGTCCTTGTGCTGTCTCCACTCCAGTCCAGCGATTGAATGAGAGGATGTCCAGCTTCGTGAAGCTGGACGGGGCTGCTCGGAGAAGTTTGTGCAGCGCGTGGAGCTCCTCAGGTAGAATGCAGGGCGAAGGCGGGTAGAGCTGGCCAATGTAGGAGAGGCAGGTGACGGCGGCGGCGTTGTAGAGTTTGATGTTTTGTTGGAGCGGCGATCGGGAGGAGGAGGAGGAGGAGGAGGAGGAGGAGGAGGAGGAGGTGAGACGCGGGGCGCTGTCTCTTCAAAACGAGGACCCAACACCAGAGGATGGTTGGAACAATAAACATGCGCACACGCACGCACGCACACACGCACGCACGCATGCACACACACACACACAGACACACACACACACACACACACACACACACACATTCAAGTCTCTGACACTTCAGCGAAGTTTCAGTATCACAGGATCCACCACTGACAGTGGGCGCGCTCGGGACATCCCGAGGCTCCCCTCGGTGAGCGTGGAGGGGGCAGGCCGGAGGGAGGAGGGAAGGAGGGAGAAGTGAGGAGCATGCGGAGGAGGTGGATGGAGGGGAGAGGGGGGGAGGATCAGCCTGGGCAAGGCCGCCTGCGGCAGCGAGAGCCCGAGTTGCGATCCAGAGTCTAAGTGTGCCAAAAACTACTGTGCGGTGGAGGTGTGTCTATGCGGCGCGTGTACCTGTTCGTGGGAAGAGCGGCGCCTTCATCACCAAGCGAATGCCACCAGCCCTGTGCACGTGGGTAGTTTGGGGGAAACCAAAAGGTACCGATACCGCTACTCCCTGGACCTCTCCTGGGGTACGTTCTGACCAGAATTTCGAGGCGAATCCAGCGGTGACGACGAGGGCCTCCCTGGAGGCCCAAAAAGGGGGAAACAGAGCAGGGGTAGCAGTATGGTAGTTTTCCTCATTTGAGGGTTTGCCCCTCTCGCTTCCCCCACGCCGCAAAACTTCCCCACCGCCTGTGGGCGACGAGCGGCGGCTGGTTAGCATGAGGTGGTGAGTTGCCCCTGGCCAACCGTGCAGAGGAGTAGCCACGGATCGAGTAGGGGATCGACGTAGAATTGATGTACCCCAACCTTGCTTTCCTCGTCGAATCTTTTTTTCGTGTCAGCACCAGAGCGCGCGACCGATGCGAAGTAAAATGCCACACGCAGCCGTGCACATCCATGTGAACAGAAGGCAGCCCCCTACATTGAGGCACGGCGACGGTCTACATTCGCAGTACGATTCTATTCGCTTTCCTCGTCGAATATACGATACAACACGGAGAATGTTTGTAGACCTACGGGCACGATTGGTATTTTGCTCCTGGGCTCGACGAGGAAAACAACGCTGGGGTAAATTCATCATGTAGTCGATCCCCACTCGAACGGATGAGAACCCATGTTGGGCGGAGCCTCGGATTTGACGGTTGTGTGGGCCCCTCCAGTCCGTCTTGAAACTCCTTCAGGGTGCTCTTGGAGCTCGGTTGACGCCCTGCTGAGGCCCTCTTGGGCCCCCCTGGCGCCTTGAACCATCTCTGGGGCCCTCTTGGCCCACCTCAGAGAATCATCCTGAAGCCTTCTTGCCGCCTGTGGGGGCCATTCTCGAGACCATGCATCGGCCATCGGGCGCCGTCTGGAAGGCCTGCCTTGCCTGGTCCTGCCTTGTCCAGCGGTGCCCCGTCGAGGACAGGACTTAGGGCGTACTCGTGCCTCCATTTTGGGTGCTGGGGGCA